ATCGCTACTAGGAGCAAGAAGCTGCTAGTAGCTCCTGGCATTACTACTAGTAACAACTAGAGTAGTAGGTTGGAGGCTGGACGCTGCGGTGGGCTCGTCCCTTGCGGTGAGGCATTGTTCGGTCGATTGATCGCCTATTAGGCACCCGTGACCCTGGCCGATCAGTTCGGGTGCCAATGAAGCAGCCAAACTGTGTGTTTTTTTGGGGGAGACGAAAGGGCGTTGAATCATTGCAGAGGTTTGAAAGGGGATGAAGGGATATATTATATAAGTAAATCTGTTTTACATCTCGAGGCCGGAAGAAATGCAGGGGATGAGCGGGTTTGATCTTCGCCGGGAGCTTCATGAGTCTGATCCATGAGTCCCGATTCAGGGGATGTCCGGGATGTCCATGTATTAACTTCGCGACAGGAAGGCCGGAACGTACGCTGTCGAATCATCTGTTTTGAGCTGTCTAAATATCGGTCACTACAGGTGTCTCAGGGATCATCATACATTACATTACCTTTGACCTTTAACAACTAAATATATATATATAGATAGATCTAAAGTATATAGATTAGATATAGTAATTACACAGACTGCATTAGAGACAAAACTACCACTGCCGGAGATGGGCCATGGTTCAACGCACTCCATCACTCTACATAAGTAAATTACTCCAAATATATCTAGAACCCATTTGACCTCTGTTTTCATAGGAAACAATACAATTTTTGTGAGTGGTAAGTCCAAAATAGAGGTCATTCAGGTTCTAGGTATCTAAATATCTATATATACACCCATACGCTCCAAACAGCCCTTGGCCTTGGTCCCTCCAAACATAGGGATTGCTTCGACCCCAAACCCCTCCACTTTGAGACCCCCAGACCCCCTCCATATGTTTGGGCAAGAAGGATGTTCCATATCATTAAGTCATTAAGCGTCCTTTCGGATTCCAAAATGCACAGACACGACACATGGGACTGCCATAGGACTGCCGAGAAACAGCCAGGGGTGGTGCCAGAGGGATCTTTCTGGGGTGGCATAGATGGCAGTCCCATTAGTCGTGTCTGGGCTTGAGAACACCGTTTTGTGGGTTGGCGCCTCGATCCTTCGGTCGATTCTTCGCTTGCCATCCAAGTGACGCAGCGGCCACGATCAGCCCGGAGCTGGGCACATCCAGGCCTTGGGTGGCAACGACCGGATTTGGACCCGAACACTGCAGCTTGGATGTGTTGGATCGTTTTTGTTTTTTTTCCGGATCCGGAGCGGATCCAGAGTGGTTGCAGCTGCCTGCCAAGAGAGGTTGAACAGCCTGAAAACACGCCCATCCCGTACGTACCACAGACCAGGGTCCGAACGTTCAGGTCTCAACCTCTCTTGGTGGAGACTTACTTGCCTTAAGGTTGTATCTGGACCGGATCGGGCAAAGCGGGCGATCCCTTGAGAGGGACCGACTCCTCGATATGCTCGAATGGGGCGATGTTCTAACCGACCGATCAAATACCATCAAATATCAGGAACATACCGTACCCGTGACTGGAGGCTTGTAGTCCTCACATGTCCTCACTGTACCATACATAGCTACGCTTGAAGGGCTTGTACGTATACTGCCTCCAACGCCGAGGACGCGAGCCGTTCGACGCCGCCGCGGACGCTCTCAGGAGAGCAGCGATGTAGGAAGCCGCGTTGATGCATGGGGTCGTAGACCTGGGAGGACGTGTTCGGGCAAAAACCCAACATGTAGGTAGACGCTCCACAGCATGCTAGCATACATACAACTATAAATACATAAATATATACTCCATGTTAGTGAGTCGGAGATTGTTATATCTAAAGTAACTATATATAGATAATTGCCTCAGGACCATCCGGGTCTCCAATGACTTTCAAAAGTCCGCAAGTAATTATTGTAGGGTAGTGGAGACCCCTATCGGATGGTATACATATATACCAGCAGCCGATGAGAAGCTTGGCCAAATGGTCAGTTTGAGCCTTGCACCTCGACTCCGTCAGACCTGCCGGCACTCCCTCCGTGGAACATCTACGCTGAACGAGACGAAAGCGACCGAGGGACTCATGGCACCAGAAAAATACATTGGAACATGGACGTGGCATCGAGCATATACAACGACAGGATGGTTTCTGATGTGGATGAAACTACTAAATGGGACCTGGAACCTGTTAAAGCTTGTAAAGTAAAGGGGCAGGAAACGCAAGTGCAACTGGGAGCTCCCCCAAAGTGACTCCATGTGTTTTCCAAAAGTCGTGTCCAAAACACAAGAATAAGGGTAAAGCCTTGGTCAGTCCTGCTCAACTTTTCCTTTCGCAACCGGTTCCAATACAGCGAAGCAGCCGTAAAACCTACAAAATAAACCCTGCTTCGTCTGTTCCTGGGATCAACGAGCTTGTCGACGCCGTGGTGCTACTGGATGCCGTCTCTTGGGCAACATCGCTTGCAGAAAGGGCGACATCAAGCCACGGCCATCACGGATGATCTCCTGAGTCAGCAGCGGAACGTTCAGTCGAAGTCATGAGCCTCACCAGGCCGTTTGGCCTAGGGTTCGGTGGGACGACGGGGGCCCGGTGCCAGGAGGGTCCAGTCATACCGAACCTGAGGAGGTACGACTGGAGGTGTAGAAAGGCACCGGCCAGGTCATCCACGTCACCGATGTTTTCAGTGTAAACTTGGGGCGTGTAGACTCCAAAAACACTCCCCAGAAGATGCTTGGACGCTTGGAGTCCGAAACGGATCCGTTTGAGGTATGGCTCCAAGTCACATTCTGATAAGGCTCCAATTCACTCCACGTTGTTTCATTTTCTGATTCTTGGAGCGAGCAGGAGCTGGCCTTGCTGAGGTCTGATTGCAGCGTTGATCCTGGTGCTGCATATGACCCTTTAGATCATCTTGTTGGCAGATTTGGTGTTCGACATATATGTATCATGGGACTTGGGTAGCTTGAGGCAGTGAGGCCCCCAAAATTGTACTATGATATGATGTGGTCCCAAACTTCATCTTGCTGAAAACAACTCAGCTGGAAATGACCTAGGCCCTAACCCACAATGACCATATTGCTCCTGGCAGGGCTTCTTCCTTGCTCTCCTGACCCAAACTTCTTGGGACACTACAAAACACAGAAAAACACATTGAACACCACCTCTTTCCATCTTCGGTTCAAGGGCGGCACATCGATGCACATCCCTGAAAATAGAAAATAGAAAAAACGTCTGCCAATCTTCGGCCAGTCTCCACTTCCTCTTTGGGCTCTCTTTCATCCACCTGCCTGAATGGCCCCGAAGATGCGTCCGCTTCTTTTGCAGAACACGAGGAACACCGTGGCGTCCGGGGCGTTTGGAAGGAAACGAGTGGAAAGGTCCGTGGCGTCCACACGGAGCGAGGGGTCTGTTTCTTGGGGTCAACGGCTCGCTCGGTCTGTGATGGGTCTGTCTCCGTTGCCTCGTGAGGTCTGCGGTGACGAGTCAGTCAGTGCACGGGTGCCGCACTTGTATGTAAACTGTAAACCATATGTGAACCAACCCTTGTGGTACTTTGATCCTCGAATTCGCAAAAAAAAGGGACACTTAAATCAAGAAGCGCAACACCTGCAAACACGGGAACATGGTTCACGGTCGCCCTCCCAACGTCTCCAAATCCTGCCAGGCCGGAAACCATCTCCACCCCATACGCTCCAAACAGCCCTTGGTCCGTCAATGACGAGGGATTTGAGACCCCAGACCCCTCCATATGTTCGGGTCCATGAGCGTTTGGGCAGGTCGCCAGTGCGGGGGCTTCCAAAGCACCAAACAGCTTCCGCCGTGCCTGATCAGCATCACGAGTCCGGCTTGGGGGAGTACCGCTATGTACCGATTGGGGTGTCGAAAAGTCGAGGAACACAAGACAGAAGGAGTGCCTTTTCTGCAAAGTTTGGCTTCTTTGGACAGTGAGGAGACATGAGGCGACATTGGCGAAAACAAAGATGAGCATGTCCAGATTCGTCAACAAGCCCTGCCATTAAAATCGAGAGGTTGACAATGACAGGTCGACTTTCTTCTACAAAAGAATCACGTTTATGATCTAGTTGTTTCTGGAAGGTTCTGGTGCCAGTGGATGAGGTTGATGAGATGTCGTGGAGCTGTCGATGGGGTTCTTGTGTCGGTCTTGGTGCCAAAACGCCCGGGGCCAAGTCAGGCAGACTGGACTCTGAAGGAGGCCTCTCTGTGATGTTTCCGGCCGTCAACCCGGTCCCAAATTCAGCAACATGACGTTCTTCCACAACAACAACAACAACAACTACTACTACTACTACTACTTCTACTACTACTACTACTACCTACTACCTACTACCTACTAACTACTAACTACTAACTACCAACTACCAACTACTAACTACCTACTACTAACTACCTACTACTACTACTACTACTACTACTACTACTACTACTACTACTACT